TTTTTTTTTGGGGGGGGGGGGGGGGGCAAACAATGTGAATTATGAGAGATGAGCAAGTGGCGAATGATGCCATTTCCCTGAGGACAGACGGTGCCTGGTTACTAGGCGGACACTTTCGCTTTTTACTTCCGAGAAACTTCCGTTTACCGATTCGTCTCTCGCAGTGGCGTAATTCGATGTGAGGAAGGATGTCGTGGCTGCTAGATTTTTTTTGGCGTCTATTTTCGAAAAAGGAACTAACATTTCGATACACTGCTCCAGATGGAGAAACTGTATCAATTCCGCGATTCGTCGAGCCATATAAATTTCTCAAGGTGCATCGAAATGCATCGAGAGGGAAAATCAAGGAAGCTTTTCGAAGGATTGCAAATCAAAGCAGTAGACATTGTAGAGCCATGGCATCTCTGTCCTACCATATACTCATGTCTAAAGATCAGCGATACCGAAAGATAAATAATGATTCCTATGAAGTAAGCAGTGAAAATGATGTTATTGTGCTCGCAGCCGTTGGTTACACAGCTGGCCTGATCGATCAAATATCCAAAGATCCTTCTTTGGTTACATCCACTGACGAGCACGATCATTCGCTTTTGTATGTCACTGCTCGCGCTGGATTCTATGACACAACTGAGGCTCTTCTCGAGAAGGGGGTTCCTGTAAATGAGACACAGGTTGATGGTAGCACCGCTCTCCACGCAGCGTCTTACTATGGACAACTTCGTGTCGTCAAACTTTTGCTTCGATACGGAGCGGACACAGAAGTTAAAAACAGATGGGACACAACTCCAGCGGACGAGGCTTCCACGGAAATTAGGCAAATTATTTTGTCATACAAGGAAGACCCTATCTCAAAAATTCTAACATCGCTGCTTCGAGAAGGCCTTGCCTGTAGGGTCCGTTTCATTAAACACGAGGACATTGTTATTGCAAAAGAAGTTTTGCGCCACAAAAATGCAATTGACGGGGAAACGAGGCAGCAATTGGATTATATAATCTCCACCTGGAAGAACGTCTGGCATGGAACAAAGGCCGAACATCTAGAATCCATCATGAGTCATGGCCTTAAACCGAGTGGCTCGACGCTTCCGGATGGTCGCTCAATCTCTCCACCGTCAGGTCATTTTAAGCTGGATAAAGAGCACTCTGGCATCAGTAATTGGGCTCGTGCCATATTTGTCTCGCCAAGAATAACGTATGCTTCCCACAAAGCCTACTCTGAGCGAGTTTTTTCAGATAATAAGCAGTGGTGTATATTGATAAGGGCCCGTGTCAAGCTTGACTCGTACACCAGGCATAAGTCCACTGTTAATACCGAAGCCCATTTTCTGGCTGGAGAGTCAACATTGCCAGAATATCGCGTTGCAAAATCAGAAGCAGCGGGGATGTTTTCGCAGGCTAATTCAGAAGAGGAAGCAGAGATCTTCGGCATTTTATCTGAGACGGAAACAGTGACAGACATAGAGCTTGATCGTAATGTGGTGGTGACGTCCGTAGTATTCATCTCTGAGGCCTTTTTGAAGGAGACAGACCGCACTTTTCAAGAGGTGATGTCTTTATTTGACAAGGAACATTTTTCTTAATCACAACATCGATTTTACAAAGCAAGAAGTTGTTGAGTAGTAAAATCGTCTATTGCTAAAATTCCGCAATGTGTTCCTTTTTTGCATGTCATTAAACCGTAATATACTAGCTTTCTAATTTCCTTTGTTCTGAGATGAAATTCTACATGAAATGGATAGGCATATATGTAAATATAGTTAGTTTGTTTTACCCAAGGTTGTTTTTACAATGGCGGTAGAAATTCTCGCCTTATTCATTGGTCAAGATTTTTTGTGGTAGTTCAGACAATGGAAACGGTCAAATGTGGCGTGATCTTCCTCTGTCAATCTTGAGTGTTTTTTTTTTTTGAGAAACCTCTTCGTCAGAATCAGGTGATTGAAGGATTTCAGTTAAACAGGAAAACCCAGAAAATGAGAACACCCAGGTGTCGTGAAATTTGTTTGTATTAGCGAGATTTTCAGATAGGAAAATGACCGACTGTATTTTCATTGGGGCCAAAAGAATGTGGTCCGGTGTTAATCTCTCTTGGAAAGTTTCTTTATGCAACTTACAATACAATAACTTTATTTAAAGAGGGAAGCGCAATAACTTATTACAGTTTTCTAACCTACGGCCCTCGAAAAATAAATAAATAGATAA